ATTCTTTGGGACCTTCATGAGGACAGGGATGTCTACAACGAGATGTGGCAGATCCCAGTGGTCCCTATGCCTAAGGAGAGGCAAGTGGCAGCAAGCATCAGCACCAAGGATGGAGCGGTCGGTAGCGACGATGGCGCGAACGGTCGCGCTAAGGAGAATGAGCTCAAGAAGAGCAAACCTGGACGGACCAGCAAGTTCAGTGAACCTAAGGAGAGTGGTGCAGCAACCAAGGAGCAGCAAAAGGGTGAGGAGAACCCAGAGGCAGCAGCGGAGGAGGACTACGGAGAGAGTATGTGGGGCGCTATTGCGAGCGCGGCATTCTCCAATCCAACTTCGGCTACGGGGGAGTGTGATTGGCTCACCTTGCATCGGCGCATGGGGCATGTGGCCCTGCCCATCTTGCAGCAGCTAGTGAAGAATGAGATGGTTGCTGGCATACGTGTGAAGGGGGAGCCCGATGAGGTGCTTGGCTGCCCGACGTGCATTCAAGCCAAGTTCACCCGGTTTCCGTTCCCTAGTTCGGAGGCAACGGCAAAGGCACCGCTTGATGAGGTGGTGATGGACGTGGTGGGCCCCCTGAAGCTTGGAGCTGCTGGAGCTGAGTATTTTCTCACCATTGTCGACGTCTACACCCGCATGACTTGGGTGTACGTGCTGGCCAAGAAGAGCGACGTGGCTGAAACGTTGAAGACGGATTGGTTCCCGATGGTGGAGCGGCAACAAGACCGTCTAGTCAAGTCAATCCGCACCGATCGAGGGGGAGAGTTCCTGAGCAAGGAGTTTGGGTTGTGGCTGAAGAAGAATGGTATTCGGCACTCCCTCACCATGCCATACTCCCCTGCAATGAACGGCATCGCCGAGCGAGCGAACCGCACAATCACGGAGGCGGCACGCGGGTTGCTCATTGAAGCCGGGCTACCCGACTATTTCTGGCCTGATGCGGTGCGGAGCGCGTGTGTGGCCAAGAACAGAGCCTTGACTCATGTGGGAGCAGACAAATGGGTGCCCTATGTGGAGTGGCTAGGAAGGAAGCCAAAGGTGGATATGCTTCGGGTGTTCGGGTGCATGTGCATGGCGCTCGTGCCTAAGCATCTTCGGCACAACAAGCTTGGTGCCAAGGCGGTGTGGGCCGTGCACTTGGGCATGGCTCAAAACAGCAAGGGATGGCTTCTTTGGGACCCATTCACCAAGAAGTTCTTGGTGAGCAGGGACTGCAAGTTCATGGAGAACTTCATGTACAAGGATTGGAAGGCGGAGAATGAGGCGAAGATAGGCGTGCGGTTTGGGGAGGTGAAGAGTTCCGGTTTGGAGCATGGGGAGCTGCCTTTGGAACTGAGCAGCGGCAGCACAACCACAAGGCAATCCTCCCTTGTGAATGGGGGAGAGGAGGCCAATGATGCAGAGGAAGAAGAGGAGGAGGTGCAGCAAGTGAGCGAGCGTGCACCGTCACTCCCTTCCCGTACTACGAGTGCTCCACGGATTCGAGCCACACCGCAGCAACGCCAAGGCCTTCAAGTCCCTGCAGCTGAGGAGGAAGGAAGGGGGAAGAGGAGAGTTCAACCCCCTAATAGGCTGACCTATGATGCGCCGGGAAAGCAGGGCAAGACAGCCCTGGCCGGAGCGGCAATGATGGTCGGAGACGACGAGGAGAGTGACTACGAGGAGTGTGCCTTCGCGTTCTTCTCTCCGGTGGAGATGCCGGGAGAACCAGCAACTCTCAAGGAGGCTTTGGAGAGTAGTGATGCTGAGGAGTGGAAGAAGGCCATGGAGAGTGAGCTGAAGAGCATTGAGGAGAATGACACGTTTGAATTGGTGGAGCTACCAGAGGGGCGTACGGCGATAACGTCCAAGTGGCTCTTCAAAATCAAGTCGGATGCCGACGGCAAGATCGAGCGCTACAAGTCTAGGCTTGTAGCCAAGGGGTACCAGCAGAAGGAGAAGGTGGACTTCAAGGAGCTGTTTGCCCCTGTGGTGAAGCCGACGACGCTGCGAACCCTATTCGCGGGAGCCGCCATCAAAGGATGGGTAGTAAAGCAAATGGACATCGTAACGGCATTCCTTAACGGCATCCTTGAGGAGGAGATTTTTATGGTGCAGCCAGAGGGGTTTGATGATGGTAGTGGCAGAGTGTGGAAGCTGAAGAAGGCCCTCTATGGGCTGAAGCAGGCCCCTAGGCAATGGTACATGAAGCTGCGCGAAGTGTTGGAGGGGATCGGCTTCACTCCCTCAACGGCCGATCACTCCTTGTTCATGCTTGGCGAGGGGGAGCAGAGGAGTTTCATGGTGGTTTATGTGGATGACATCCTCATTTTCTCACCCTCTTCTGACCTTGTGAAGGAGGTGATGCTGAAGCTTCAAGAAAAGTTCAAGTGCAAGGCCCTTGGTGACGTGAGCTTCTACCTTGGGCTCTACATCGAACGAGATGTGGAGAAGCGGTGCATGCGGGTGCATCAACGAAAGTACCTGGAGGCATTGGCTGCCAACTTTGGGCAGAGTGAAGGCCATGTGGCTACACCCTTTCCCTCTGGGTTCAAGTGTGTGAAGGGACCAGAGGAGGAGAGCGTTGGTGAAGAGGAGAGGCGCCGATTTCACTCGTTGGTGGGCAGCCTCATGTATGCGGCGGTAAACACCCGACCGGACGTCGCGTTTGCTACCGGGCAGCTGGCTAGGGTTGTGCAATGCCCTAATGAGGAGCAGGTAGCAGCTGGAATGAGGGTGGCCAAGTATCTTGGCCAAACACCGACCGTTGGGCTGCAATACTCGGCGGCGGCACAAAGGCGCCAAAAGGGCGCGGATGGTGTTGAACCCGGGCGTTTGTTCCTCACCGCCTACTCGGATGCTTCATATGCATCAGAACCAGAGGACATGACAAGTGTGGGAGGCTTCATATGCTGTGTTGGTGGAGGCCCAACAGCTTGGGAGAGCAAGAAGCAGGTTGACCAAGCTTTGAGCTCGGTGGAGTCCGAGTACATGGCACTCTTCCGTGCCGTACGGGAGATTGTGTGGCAGCGGCGTTTGTTGGCTGAATTGGGGGAGGAGCAGCAAGGACATACCCCACTGTACTGTGACAGCCAGGGTGCCATTGCTCTTGCTAAGAACCCTGTGTTGCATGGACTCACGAAGCACATGAGGGTGAAGTGGCATTGGACGAGGAGCATGGTAACCGCGGGTGAAGTTGAGTTGCGCTACGTGAAGACCACGGGGCAGCCGGCTGACATGATGACCAAGAGGCTGGTGGAGCAGCAGCATTGGAAGTGTTGCAAGCTGGCTGGGATGGCTCTGAACTGAGAGAGCAACATATCCTAAGGCCAACAATCCGAGGGGGAGTTTGTTGGTGCAACCCTACGGTTTGCACTCGGCTTGTTGTCCGTGTGCGTGAATGTGTGTGTGTATGGAATGGTATGAGGGCATGGGATAATATATATTTCATGCTTATAATTGTGTGTGAATGTTGAGTCATGATGTCGAGTGTGTGTGTCGAGTCAATAGCGAGTTATCGCTAGACGCGTGTTACGCGGTCGTTTGTGTCTCGCGCGCGGTTTCTATTTTGTCGTGCGCGGTTTCTATTTTGTCCTGTGTCGAACGTTCAGCGTGTCGCAGGTGTGTGCAGCAGACCCATCAAGAACTCAAGGATGAGTTTGTGATGAAGAGCCCGAGCCTTGGTGTCAAGCCTCAAGTGATTTCGAAGCTCGCCAAAAGGGTACACCTCAAGATATTGAAGATAGTTACATTACTTTGTGTAGTGTAACATTTCACTTGGTGTAGGCCCTAGTGAAGGGTAGTTTCGAGACCCTTCGTGGTTGGGGACAGTGTGGCACTGTTCCACATCACTGTACCTCGGCTCTTGGGGTTTGTAGGAGCTGGGAGTCATTCCCAACTCGTAACTCTTCCTATCTTGTGTTCTAAGACTATAGTGGCTGCCATAGTACCGTTCGTTCAAACCGACGCTGTGTCGTCAATTATTTATCAAATCGTGCAATCTAAATTGATAATTGTAGATGACGTAAAAACGCTCCAGATCCAATTTGAATCAAGTCATTTACAGCTGTGAGCAGAACGCTATCAACGTTTGAAGCCGCTGTGCAGAAATCCGTCTGTGCTCTCTATCTTTCGTTTTAGGCACATTCAAGCCTATTGTGACTATAACAAGTGGTATCAGAGCCCCTTGGAGCAGTTTCGACAATGTCTGGACCTGAGGAAAGGGGTGGCAGAGGTGCTGGTGGCAGTGGAGAAGCTCAAGCTCAAGGCCAACCCCGTGATTCAGCCATGGCGCCCATGCAACCAAGTCTTGGCCCACCTAGGGATGAGCCTAGGGTGTTTGGGCTTGACAAGTTCAACGGTGACAACTTTGCTGAATGGTCCTTCAAGATGGAGAACATCTTTGACCACTATGACCTGCTGGAGGTGATGGAAGGAACGGAGAAGCGCCCCGAGAACGACCCGGAGAAGAGCCCGTGGGTGCGGAAGAGCGCACAAGGCTATCTCTTACTTGGGCAAGCGTTGGGGAGCAGTCAGATCCGTCACATCAAGACATTCCAGCGTGAACCAGAGAAAGGACCAAAGGACCAGACAACCCTAAACCCATTCTCCCGCTTTCCATCACCCCGCCCCATTCTCCCGCTTTCCATCACCCCGCCCCATTCTCATCATTCTCCCGCTTTCCATCACCCCGCCTCATTCTCCCGCTTTCCATCACCCCGCCCCATTCTCCCGCTTTCCATCACCCCGCCACATTCTCCTGCTTTCCATCACCCCGCACCATTCTCCCGCTTTCCATCACCCCGCCCCATTCTCCCGCTTTCCATCGCCCCGCCCCATTCTCCCGCTTTCCACCACCCCGCCCCATTCTCCCGCTTTCCATAACCCCGCCCCATTCTCCGGCTTTCCATCACCCCGCCCCATTCTCCCGTTTCCATCACCCCACCCCATTCTCCCGCTTTCCAGCACCCCGCCCCATTCTCCCGCTTTCCATCACCCCGCCCCATTCTCCCGCTTTCCAGCAACCCGCCCCATTCTCCCACTTTCCATCACCCCGCCCCATTCTCCCGCTTTCCATCACCCCGCCCCGTTCTCCCGCTTTCCATCACCCCGCCCCATTCTCCCGCTTTCCAGCACCCCGCCCCATTCTCCCGCTTTCCATCACCCCGCCCCGTTCTCCCGCTTTCCATCACCCCGCCCCATTCTCCCGCTTTCCATCACCCCGCCCCATTCTCCCGCTTTCCATCACCCCGCCCCATTCGCCCGCTTTCCATCACCCCGCCCCATTCTCCCGCTTTCCATCACCCCACCCCATTCTCCCGCTTTCCATCACCCCGCCCCATTCTCCCGCTTTCCATCACCCCGCCACATTCTCCCGCTTTCCATCACCCCGCCCCATTCTCCCGCTTTCCATCACCCCGCACCATTCTCCCGCTTTCCATCACCCCGCCCCATTCTCCCGCTTTCCATCACTCCGCCCCATTCTCCCTCCTTCCATCACCCCGCCCCATTCTCCCTCCTTCCAACACCACGCCCCATTCTCCCGCTTTCCATCACCCCGCCCCATTATCCCGCTTTCCATCACCCCGCCCCATTCTCCCTCCTTCCATCACCCCGCCCTATTCTCCCGCTTTCCATCACTCCGCCCCATTCTCCCGCTTTCCATCACCCCGCCCCATTCTCCCGCTTTCCATCACCCCGCCCCATTCTCCCGCTTTCCATCACCCCGCCCCATTCTCCCGCTTTCCATCGCCCCGCCCCATTCTCCCGCTTTCCACCACCCCGCCCCATTCTCCCGCTTTCCATAACCCCGCCCCATTCTCCGGCTTTCCATCACCCCGCCCCATTCTCCCGTTTCCATCACCCCACCCCATTCTCCCGCTTTCCAGCACCCCGCCCCATTCTCCCGCTTTCCATCACCCCGCCCCATTCTCCCGCTTTCCAGCACCTTGCCCATTCTCCCGCTTTCCATCACCCCACCCCATTCTCCCGCTTTCCATCACCCGCCCCATTATCCCTCCTTCCATCACCCCGCCCCATTCTCCCTCCTTCCATCACCCCGCCCCATTCTCCCGCTTTCCATCACCCCGCCCCATTCTCCCGCTTTCCATCACCCCGCCCCATTCTCCCGCTTTCCATCACCCCGCCCCGTTCTCCCGCTTTCCATCACCCCGCCCCATTCTCCCGCTTTCCATCACCCCGCCACATTCTCCCGCTTTCCATCACCCCGCCCCATTCTCCCGCTTTCCATCACCCGGCCCCATTCTCCCGCTTTCCATCACCCCGCCCCATTCTCCCGCTTTCCATCAGCCCGCCCCATTCTCCCTCCTTCCATCACCCCGCCCCATTCTCCCTCCTTCCATCACCCCGCCCCATTCTCCCGCTTTCCATCACCCCGCCCCATTCTCCCGATTTCCATCACCCCGCCCCATTCTCCCGCTTCCCATCACCCCGCCCCATTCTCCCGCTTTCCATCACCCCGCCCCATTCTCCCTCCTTCCATCACCCCGCCCCATTCTCCCTCCTTCCATCACCCCGCCCCATTCTCCCGCTTTCCATCACCCCGCCCCATTCTCCCGCTTTCCATCACCCCGCCCCATTCTCCCGCTTTCCATCACCCCGCCCCGTTCTCCCGCTTTCCATCACCCCGCCCCATTCTCCCGCTTTCCATCACCCCGCCACATTCTCCCGCTTTCCATCACCCCGCCCCATTCTCCCGCTTTCCATCACCCGGCCCCATTCTCCCGCTTTCCATCACCCCGCCCCATTCTCCCGCTTTCCATCACCCCGCCCCATTCTCCCGCTTTCCATCACCCCGCCCCATTCTCCCTCCTTCCATCACCCCGCCCCATTCTCCCGCTTTCCATCACCCCGCCCCATTCTCCCGATTTCCATCACCCCGCCCCATTCTCCCGCTTTCCATCACCCCGCCCCATTCTCCCGCTTTCCATCACCCCGCCCCATTCTCCCTCCTTCCATCACCCCGCCCCATTCTCCCTCCTTCCAACACCCCGCCCCATTCTCCCTCCTTCCAACACCCCGCCCCATTCTCCCGCTTTCCATCACCCCGCCCCATTCTCCCTCCTTCCATCACCCCGCCCTATTCTCCCGCTTTCCATCACTCCGCCCCATTCTCCCGCTTTCCATCACCCCGCCCCATTCTCCCGCTTTCCATCACCCCGCCCCATTCTCCCGCTTTCCATCACCCCGCCCCATTCTCCCGCTTTCCATCGCCCCGCCCCATTCTCCCGCTTTCCACCACCCCGCCCCATTCTCCCGCTTTCCATAACCCCGCCCCATTCTCCGGCTTTCCATCACCCCGCCCCATTCTCCCGTTTCCATCACCCCACCCCATTCTCCCGCTTTCCAGCACCCCGCCCCATTCTCCCGCTTTCCATCACCCCGCCCCATTCTCCCGCTTTCCAGCACCCCGCCCCATTCTCCCGCTTTCCATCACCCCACCCCATTCTCCCGCTTTCCATCACCCGCCCCATTATCCCTCCTTCCATCACCCCGCCCCATTCTCCCTCCTTCCATCACCCCGCCCCATTCTCCCGCTTTCCATCACCCCGCCCCATTCTCCCGCTTTCCATCACCCCGCCCCATTCTCCCGCTTTCCATCACCCCGCCCCGTTCTCCCGCTTTCCATCACCCCGCCCCATTCTCCCGCTTTCCATCACCCCGCCACATTCTCCCGCTTTCCATCACCCCGCCCCATTCTCCCGCTTTCCATCACCCGGCCCCATTCTCCCGCTTTCCATCACCCCGCCCCATTCTCCCGCTTTCCATCACCCCGCCCCATTCTCCCTCCTTCCATCACCCCGCCCCATTCTCCCTCCTTCCATCACCCCGCCCCATTCTCCCGCTTTCCATCACCCCGCCCCATTCTCCCGCTTTCCATCGCCCCGCCCCATTCTCCCGCTTTCCACCGCCCCGCCCCATTCTCCCGCTTTCCACCACCCCGCCCCATTCTCCCGCTTTCCATAACCCCGCCCCATTCTCCGGCTTTCCATCACCCCGCCCCATTCTCCCGTTTCCATCACCCCACCCCACTCTCCCGCTTTCCAGCACCCCGCCCCACTCTCCCGCTTTCCATCACCCCGCCCCATTCTCCCGCTTTCCAGCACCCCGCCCCATTCTCCCGCTTTCCAGCACCCCGCCCCACTCTCCCGCTTTCCATCACCCCGCCCCATTCTCCCGCTTTCCAGCACCCCGCCCCATTCTCCCGCTTTCCATCAGCCCGCCCCATCCTCCTGCTTTCCGTCACCCCGCCCCATTCTCCCGCTTCCATTACCCCGCCCCATTCTCCCTCTTTCCATCACCCCGCCCCATTCTCCCGCTTTCCATCACCTGCCCCATTCTCCCGCTTTCCATCACCCCGCCCCATTCTCCCGCTTTCCATCACCCCGCCCCATTCTCCCTCTTTCCATCACCCCGCCCCATTCTCCCTCTTTCCATTACCCCGCCCCATTCTCCCTCTTTCCATTACCCCGCCCCATTCTCCCGCTATCCATCACCCCACCCCATTCTCCCGCTTTCCATCACCCCGCCCCATTCTCCCTCTTTCCATCACCCCGCCCAATTCTCCCTCTTTCCATCACCCCGCCCCATTCTCCCTCTTTCCATTACCCCGCCCCATTCTCCCTCTTTCCACCACCCCACCCCATTCTCCCGCTATCCATCACCCCGCCCCATTCTCCCTCTTTCCATCACCCCGCCCCATTCTCCCTCTTTCCCTCACCCCGCCCCAGTCTCCCTCTTTCCATAACCCGCCCCATTCTCCCGCTTTCCATCACCCCGCACCATTCTCCCGCTTTCCATCACCCCGCCCCATTCTCCCGCTTTCCATCACCCCGCCCAATTCTCCCGCTTTCCATCACTCCGCCCCATTCTCCCGCTTTCCATAACCCCGCCCCATTCTCCCGCTTTCCGTCACCTCGCCCCATTCTCCCTTTTTCCATCACCCCGCCCCATTCTCCCGCTTTCCATCACCCGCCCCATTCTCCCGCTTTCCATCACCCCGCCCCATTCTTCCGCTTTCCATCACCCCGCCCCATTCTCCCGCTTTCCATCACCCCGCCCCATTCTCCCGCTTTCCATCACCCCTCCCCATTCTCCCGCTTTCCATCACCCCGCCCCATTCTCCCGCTTTCCATCACCCCGCCCCATTCTCCCTCCTTCCATCACCCCGCCCCATTCTCCCTCCTTCCATCACCCCGCCCCATTCTCCCGCTTTCCGTCACCCCGCCCCATTCTCCCGCTTTCCATCACCCCGCCCCATTCTCCCGTTTTCCATCACCCCGCCCCATTCTCCCTCCTTCCATTACCCCGCCCCATTCTCCCTCCTTCCATCACCCCGCCCCATTCTCCCACTTTCCAACACCCCGCCCCATTCTCCCGCTTTCCATCACCCTGCCCCATTATCCCTCCTTCCATTACCCCGCCCCATTCTCCCTCCTTCCATCACCCCGCCCTATTCTCCCGCTTTCCATCACCCCGCCCCATTCGCCCGCTTTCCATCACCCCGCCCCATTCTCCCGCTTTCCATCACCCCACCCCATTCTCCCGCTTTCCATCACCCCGCCCCATTCTCCCGCTTTCCATCACCCCGCCACATTCTCCCGCTTTCCATCACCCCGCCCCATTCTCCCGCTGTCCATCACCCCGCCCCATTCTCCCGCTTTCCATCACCCCGCCCCATTCTCCCGCTTTCTATCACTCCGCCCCATTCTCCCTCCTTCCATCACCCCGCCCCATTCTCCCTCCTTCCAACACCACGCCCCATTCTCCCGCTTTCCATCACCCCGCCCCATTATCCCGCTTTCGATCACCCCGCCCCATTCTCCCTCCTTCCATCACCCCGCCCTATTCTCCCGCTTTCCATCACTCCGCCCCATTCTCCCGCTTTCCATCACCCCGCCCCATTCTCCTGCTTTCCATCACCCCGCCCCATTCTCCCGCTTTCCATCACCCCGCCCCATTCTCCCGCTTTCCATCGCCCCGCCCCATTCTCCCGCTTTCCACCACCCCGCCCCATTCTCCCGCTTTCCATAACCCCGCCCCATTCTCCGGCTTTCCATCACCCCGCCCCATTCTCCCGTTTCCATCACCCCGCCCCATTCTCCCGCTTTCCAGCACCCCGCCCCATTCTCCCGCTTTCCATCACCCCACCCCATTCTCCCGCTTTCCAGCACCCCGCCCCATTCTCCCGCTTTCCATCACCCCGCCCCATTCTCCCGCTTTCCATCACCCGCCCCATTATCCCTCCTTCCATCACCCCGCCCCATTCTCCCTCCTTCCATCACCCCGCCCCATTCTCCCGCTTTCCATCACCCCGCCCCCTTCTCCCGCTTTCCATCACCCCGCCCCATTCTCCCGCTTTCCATCACCCCGCCCCGTTCTCCCGCTTTCCATCACCCCGCCCCATTCTCCCGCTTTCCATCACCCCGCCACATTCTCCCGCTTTCCATCACCCCGCCCCATTCTCCCGCTTTCCATCACCCGGCCCCATTCTCCCGCTTTCCATCACCCCGCCCCATTCTCCCGCTTTCCATCAGCCCGCCCCATTCTCCCTCCTTCCATCACCCCGCCCCATTCTCCCTCCTTCCATCACCCCGCCCCATTCTCCCGCTTTCCATCACCCCGCCCCATTCTCCCGATTTCCATCACCCCGCCCCATTCTCCCGCTTCCCATCACCCCGCCCCATTCTCCCGCTTTCCATCACCCCGCCCCATTCTCCCTCCTTCCATCACCCCGCCCCATTCTCCCTCCTTCCATCACCCCGCCCCATTCTCCCGTTTCCATCACCCCACCCCATTCTCCCGCTTTCCAGCACCCCGCCCCATTCTCCCGCTTTCCATCACCCCGCCCCATTCTCCCGCTTTCCAGCACCCCGCCCCATTCTCCCGCTTTCCATCACCCCACCCCATTCTCCCGCTTTCCATCACCCGCCCCATTATCCCTCCTTCCATCACCCCGCCCCATTCTCCCTCCTTCCATCACCCCGCCCCATTCTCCCGCTTTCCATCACCCCGCCCCATTCTCCCGCTTTCCATCACCCCGCCCCGTTCTCCCGCTTTCCATCACCCCGCCCCATTCTCCCGCTTTCCATCACCCCGCCACATTCTCCCGCTTTCCATCACCCCGCCCCATTCTCCCGCTTTCCATCACCCGGCCCCATTCTCCCGCTTTCCATCACCCGGCCCCATTCTCCCGCTTTCCATCACCCCGCCCCATTCTCCCGCCTTCCATCACCCCGCCCCATTCTCCCTCCTTCCATCACCCCGCCCCATTCTCCCGCTTTCCATCACCCCGCCCCATTCTCCCGCTTTCCATCACCCCGCCCCATTCTCCCGCTTTCCACCGCCCCGCCCCATTCTCCCGCTTTCCACCCCATTCTCCCGCTTTCCACCGCCCCGCCCCATTCTCCCGCTTTCCACCACCCCGCCCCATTCTCCCGCTTTCCACAACCCCGCCCCATTCTCCGGCTTTCCATCACCCCGCCCCATTCTCCCGTTTCCATCACCCCACCCCACTCTGTCGCTGTCCAGCACCCCGCCCCACTCTCCCGTTTTCCATCACCCCGCCCCATTCTCCCGCTTTCCAGCACCCCGCCCCATTCTCCCGCTTTCCATCAGCCCGCCCCATCCTCCCGCTTTCCGTCAGCCCGCCCCATTCTCCCGCTTCCATTACCCCGCCCCATTCTCCCTCTTTCCATCACCCCGCCCCATTCTCCCGCTTTCCATCACCTGCCCCATTCTCCCGCTTTCCATCACCCCGCCCCATTCTCCCGCTTTCCATCACCCCGCCCCATTCTCCCTCTTTCCATCACCCCGCCCCATTCTCCCTCTTTCCATTACCCCGCCCCATTCTCCCTCTTTCCATTACCCCGCCCCATTCTCCCGCTATCCATCACCCCACCCCATTCTCCCGCTTTCCATCACCCCGCCCCATTCTCCCTCTTTCCATCACCCCGCCCCAGTCTCCCTCTTTCCCTCAACCCGCCCCATTCTCCCTCTTTCCATAACCCGCACCACTCTCCCGCTTTCCATCACCCCGCACCATTCTCCCGCTTTCCATCACCCCGCCCAATTCTCCCGCTTTCCATCACTCCGCCCCATTCTCCCGCTTTCCATCACTCCGCTCCCGCTTTCCATAACCCCGCCCCATTCTCCCGCTTTCCGTCACCCCGCCCCATTCTCCCGCTTTCCGTCACCCCGCCCCATTCTCCCGCTTTCCATCACCCGCCCCATTCTTCCGCTTTCCATCACCCCGCCCCATTCTCCCGCTTTCCATCACCCCGCCCCATTCTCCCGCTTTCCATCACCCCGCCCCATTCTCCCGCTTTCCATCACCCCTCCCCATTCTCCCGCTTTCCATCACCCCGCCCCATTCTCCCTCCTTCCATCACCCCGCCCCATTCTCCCTCCTTCCATCACCCCGCCCCATTCTCCCTCCTTCCATCACCCCGCCCCATTCTCCCGCTTTCCGTCACCCCGCCCCATTCTCCCGCTTTCCATCACCCCGCCCCATTCTCCCTCCTTCCATCACCCCGCCCCATTCTCCCTCCTTCCATTACCCCGCCCCATTCTCCCTCCTTCCATCACCCCGCCCCATTCTCCCGCTTTCCAACACCCTGCCCCATTATCCCGCTTTCCATCACCCTGCCCCATTATCCCTCCTTCCATTACCCCGCCCTATTCTCCCTCCTTCCATCACCCCGCCCCATTCGCCCGCTTTCCATCACCCCGCCCCATTCGCCCGCTTTCCATCACCCCGCCCCATTCTCCCGCTTTCCATCACCCCGCCCCATTCTCCTGCTTTCCATCACCCCGCCCTATTCTCCCGCTTTCCATCACCCCACCCCATTCTCCCGCTTTCCATAACCCCGCCCCATTCTCCCGCTTTCCATAACCCCGCCCCATTCTCCCGTTTCCATCACCCCACCCCATTCTCCCGTTTCCAGCACCCCGCCCCATTCTCCCACTGTCCAGCACCCCGCCCCATTCTCCCGCTGTCCAGCACCCCGCCCCATTCTCCCGCTTTCCAGCACCCCGCCCAATTCTCGCGCTTTCCAGCACCCCGCCCCATTCTCCCGCTTTCCAGCACCCCGCCCCATTCTCCCGCTTTCCAGCACCCCGCCCCATTCTCCCGCTTTCCAGCACCCGGCCCCATTCTCCCGCTTTCCATCACCCGCCCCATTCTCCCGCTTTCCATCACCCGCCCCATTCTCCCGCTTTCCATCACCCCGCCCCATTCTCCCTCTTTCCATCACCCCGCACCATTCTCCCTCTTTCCATCACCCCGCACCATTCTCCCTCTTTCCATCACCCCGCCCCATTTTCCCTCTTTCCATCACCCAGCCCCATACTCCCTCTTTCCATCACCCCGCCCCATTCTCCCTCTTTCCATATCCCCGCCCCATACTCCCGCTTTCCATCACCCCGCCCCATTCTCCCGCTTTCCATCACCCCGCCCCATTCTCCCACTTTCCATCACCCCGCCCCATTCTCCCGTTTCCAGCACCCCGCCCCATTCTCCCGCTTTCCAGCACCCCGCCCCATTCTCCCGCTTTCCATCACCCCGCCCCATTCTCCCGCTTTCCATTACCCAGCCCCATTCTCCCTCCTTCCATCACCCCGCCCCATTCTCCCGCTTTCCATCACCCCGCCCTTATATCCCGCTTTCCATCACCCCGCACGATTCTCCCGCTCTCCATCACCCCGCACGATTCTCCCGCTCTCCATCACCCTGCCCCATTCTCCCACTTTCCATCACCCCGCCCCATTCTCCCGCTTTCCAGCACCCCGCCCCATTCTCCCGTTTTCCATCACCCCGCCCGATGCTCTCGCTTTCCATCACCCCGCCCCATTCTCCCGCTTTCCATCACCCCGCCCCATTCTCCCGCTTTCCATCACCCCGCCCCATTCTCCCTCTTTCCATCACCCTGCCCCATTCTCCCTCTTTCCATAACCCCGCCCCATTCTCCCGCTTTCCATAACCCCGCCCCATTCTCCCGTTTTCCATCACCCAGCCACATTCTCCCGCTTTCCATCACCCCGCCCCATTCTCCCGCTTTCCATCACCCGCCCCTTTCTTCCGCTTTCCATCTCCCCGCCCCATTTTCCCTCTTTCCATCACCCCGCCCCATTTTCCCTCTTTCCATCACCCCGCCCCATTTTCCCTCTTTCCATCATCCCGCCCCATTCTCGCTTTCCATCACCCCGCCCCATTCTCCCGCTTTCCATCACCCTGCCCCATTCTCCCGCTTTCCATCACCCTGCTCCATTCTCCTGCTTTCCATCACCCCGCCCTATTCTTCCGCTTTCCATCACCCGCCTTCATTCTCCCGCTTTCCATCACCCGCCTTCATTCTCCCGCTTTCCATCACCCCGCCCCATTATCCTGCTTTCCATCACCTCGCCCCATTCTCCCGCTTTCCATCGCCCTGCCCCATTCTCCCTCTTTCCATCACCTCGACCCATTCTCCCTCTTTCCATCACCCCGCCCCATTCTCCCGCTTTCCATCACCCCGCCCCATTCTCCCGCTTTCCATCACCCCGCCCCATTCTCCCTCTTTCCATCACCCCGCCCCATTCTCCCGCTATCCAGCACCCCGCCCTTATCTCCCGCTTTCCAGCACCCCGCCCTTATCTCCCGCTTTCCATCACCCCGCCCCATTCTCCCGCTTTCCATCACCCCGCCCCATTCTCCCTCTTTCCATCACCACGCCCCATTCTCCCGCTTTCCATCACCTGCCCCATTCTCCCGCTTTCCATCACCCCGCCCCATTCTCGCGCTTTCCAGCACCCCGCCCCATTCTCCTGCTTTCCAGCACCCTGGCCCATTCTCCCGCTTTCCAGCACCCTGGCCCATTCTCCCGCTTTCCATCTCCCCACCTGATTCTCCCGCTTTCCATCACCCCGCCCCATTCTCCCGCTTTCCATCACCCGCCCCATTCTCCCGCTTTCCATCACCCCACCCCATTCTCCCGCTTTCCATCACCCCGCCCCATTCTCCCTCTTTCCATCACCCCGCACCATTCTCCCTCTTTCCATCACCCCGCCCCATTCTCCCTCTTTCCATCACCCCGCCCCATTCTCCCGCATTCCATCACCCCGCCCCATTCTCCCTCTTTCCATCACCCCGCCCCATACTCCCTCTTTCCATCATCCCGCCCCATTCTCCCTCTTTCCATAACCCCGCCCCATTCTCCCGCTTTCCAGCACCCCGCCCCATTCTCCCGCTTTCCATCACCCCGCCCCATTCTCCCGCTTTCCATTACCCCGCCCCATTCTCCCTCCTTCCATCACCCCGCCCCATTCTCCCGCTTTCCATCACCCCGCCCCATTCTCCCGCTTTCCAGCACCCCGCCCTTATATCCCGCTTTCCATCACCCCGCACGATTCTCCCGCTCTCCATCACCTCGCCCCATTCTCCCACTATCCATCACCCCGCCCCATTCTCCCGCTTTCTAGCACCCCGCCCCATTCTCCCGTTTTCCATCACCCCGCCCGATGCTCTCGCTTTCCATCACCCCGCCCCATTCTCCCGCTTTCCATCACCCCACCCCATTCTCCCGCTTTCCATCACCCCGCCCCAGTCTCCCTCTTTCCATCACCCCGCCCCATTCTCCCTCTTTCCATCACCCTGCCCCATTCTCCCTCTTTCCATAACCCCGCCCCATTCTCCCGCTTTCCATCACCCAGCCACATTCTCCCGCTTTCCATCACCCCGCCCCATTCTCCCGCTTTCCATCACCCACCCCTTTCTCCCGCTTTCCATCTCCCCGCCCCATTCTCCCTCTTTCCATCACCCCGCCCCATTTTCCCTCTTTCCATCACCCCGCCCCATTTTCCCTCTTTCCATCATCCCGCCCCATTCTCGCTTTCCAGCACCCCGCCCCATTCTCCCGCTTTCCATCACCCCACCCGATTCTCCCGCTTTCCATCACCCCGCCCCATTCTCCCGCTTTCCATCACCCCGCCCTATTCTTCCGCTTTCCATCACCCCGCCCCGTTCTCCCGCTTTCCATCACCCGCCTTCATTCTCCTGCTTTCCATCACCCCGCCCCATTCTCCTGCTTTCCATCACCTCGCCCCATTCTCCCGCTTTCCATCGCCCTGCCCCATTCTCTCGCTTTCCATCACCTCGACCCATTCTCCCTCTTTCCATCACCCCGCCCCATTCTCCCGCTTTCCATCACCCCGCCCCATTCTCCCGCTTTCCATCACCCCGCCCCATTCTCCCTCTTTCCATCACCCCGCCCCATTCTCCCGCTATCCATCATCCAGCCCCATTCTCCCGCTTTCCTGCACCCCGCCCTTATCTCCCGCTTTCCATCACCCCGCCCCATTCTCCCGCTTTCCATCACCCCGCCCCATTCTCCCTCTTTCCATCACCACGCCCCATTCTCCCGCTTTCCATCACCTGCCCCATTCTCCCGCTTTCCATCACCCCGCCCCATTCTCGCGCTTTCCAGCACCCCGCCCCATTCTCCCGCTTTCTATCACCCCGCCCCATTCTCCCGCTTTCCAGCACCCTGGCCCATTCTCCCGCTTTCCATCTCCCCACCTGATTCTCCCGCTTTCCATCACCCCGCCCCATTCTCCCGCTTTCCATCACCCGCCCCATTCTCCCGCTTTCCATCACCCCGCCCCATTCTCCCTCTTTCCATCACCCCGCACCATTCTCCCTCTTTCCATCATCCCGCCCCATTCTCCCTCTTTCCATCACCCCGCCCCATTCTCCTGCTTTCCATCACCCCGCCCCATTCTCCCTCTTTCCATCACCCCGCCCCATACTCCCTCTTTCCATCATCCCGCCCCATTCTCCCTCTTTCCATAACCCCGCCCCATTCTCCCGCTTTCCATCACCCCGCCCCATTCTCCCGCTTTCCATCACCCTGGCCCATTCTCCCGCCTTCCATCACCCTGCCCCATTCTCCCACTTTCCAGTACCCCGCCCCATTCTCCCGCATTCCATCACCCCGCCCCATTCTCCCATTTTCCAGCACCCCGCCCATATCTCCCGCTTTCCATCACCCCGCCCTATTCTTCCGCTTTCCATCACCCCGCCCCGTTCTCCCTCTTTCCATCACCCCGCCTGATTCTCCCGCTTTCCATCACCCGCCCCCATTCTCCCTCTTTCCATCACCCCGCCCCATTCTCCCACTTTCCAGCACCCTGCCCCCTTCTCCCGCTTTCCATCACCCCGCCCCATTCTCCCGCTTTCCATCACCCCGCCCCTCCATCACCCCGCCCATTCTCTCTCTCTCCATCACCTCGCCCCATTCTCCCTCTTTCCATCACCACGCCCCATTCTCCCTCTTTCCATCACCCCGCCCCATTCTCCCGCTTTCCATCACCCCGCCCCATTCTCCCTCTTTCCATCACCCCGCCCCATTCTCCCTCTTTCCATCACCCCGCCCCATTCTCCCTCTTTCCATCACCCCGCCCCATTCTCCCGCTTTCCATCACCCCGCCCCATTCTCCCGCTTTCCAGCACTCCGTCCCATTCTCCCGCTTTCCATCACCCCGCCCCATTCTCCCGCTTTCCAGCACCCCGCCCCATTCTCCCGCTTTCCATCACCCCGCCCCATTCTCCCGATTTCCAGCACCCCGCCCCATTCTCCCGCTTTCCATCACCCCGCCCGATTCTCCCGCTTTCCAGCACCCCGCCCGATTCTCCCGCTTTCCATCACCCCGCCCCATTCTCCCTCTTTCCATCACTCCGCTCCATTCTCCCTCTTTCCATCACCCCGCCCCATTCTCCCTCTTTCCATCACCCTGCCCCATTCTCTCGCTTTCCATCACCCCGCCCCATTCTCCCTCTTTCCATCACCCCGCCCCATTCTCCTGCTTTCCATCACCTCGCCCCATTCTCCCGCTTTCCATCGCCCTGCCCCATTCTCCCGCTTTCCATCACCTCGACCCATTCTCCCTCTTTCCATCACCCCGCCCCATTCTCCCGCTTTCCATCACCCCGCCCCATTCTCCCGCTTTCCATCACCCCGCCCCATTCTCCCTCTTTCCATCACCCCGCCCCATTCTCCCGCTATCCATCATCCAGCCCCATTCTCCCGCTTTCCAGCACCCCGCCCTTATCTCCCGCTTTCCATCACCCCGCCCCATTCTCCCGCTTTCCATCACCCCGCCCCATTCTCCCTCTTTCCATCACCACGCCCCATTCTCCCGCTTTCCATCACCTGCCCCATTCTCCCGCTTTCCATCACCCCGCCCCATTCTCGCGCATTCCAGCACCCCGCCCCATTCTCCCGCTTTCTATCACCCCGCCCCATTCTCCCGCTTTCCAGCACCCTGGCCGATTCTCCCGCTTTCCATCTCCCCACCTGATTCTCCCGCTTTCCATACCCCCGCCCCATTCTTCCGCTTTCCATCACCCGCCCCATTCTCCCGCTTTCCATCACCCCACCCCATTCTCCCGCTTTCCATCACCCCGCCCCATTCTCCCTCTTTCCATCACCCCGCACCATTCTCCCGCTTTCCATCACCCCGCCCCATTCTCCCTCTTTCCATCACCCCGACGCTTTCCATCACCCCGCCCCATTCTCCCTCTTTCCATAAACCCCGCCCCAATCTCCCTCTCTCCATCACCCCGCCCCATTCTCCCGCTTTCCATCACCCCGCCCCATTCTCCGGCTTTCCATCACCCGCCCCATTCTCCCTCTTTCCATCTCCCCGCCCCATTCTCCCTCTTTCCATCACCCCGCCCCATTCTCCCTCTTTCCATCACCCCGCACCATTCTCCCTCTTTCCATCACCCCGCCCTATTCTCCCGCTTTCCATCACCCCGCCCCATTCTCGCGCTTTCCAGCACCCCGCCCCATTCTCCCGCTTTCTATCACCCCGCCCCATTCTTCCGCTTTCCAGCACCCTGGCCCATTCTCCCGCTTTCCATCTCCCCACCTGATTCTCCCGCTCTCCATCACCCCGCCCCATTCTCCCGCTTTCCATCACCCGCCCCATTCTCCCACTTTCCATCACCCCACCCCATTCTCCCGCTTTCCATCACCCCGCCCCATTCTCCCTCTTTCCATCACCCCGCACCATTCTCCCTCTTTCCATCACCCCGCCCCATTCTCCCTCTTTCCATCACCCCGCCCCATTCTCCCGCTTTCCATCACCCCGCCCCATTCTCCCGCTTTCCAGCACCCCGCCCCATTCTCCCGCTTTCCATCACCACGCCCCATTCTCCCTCTTTCCATCACCCCGCCCCATTCTCCCGCTTTCCATCACCCCGCTCCATTCTCCCGCTTTCCAGCTCCCCGCCCTTATCTCCCGCTTTCCATCACCCCGCCCCATTCTCCCTCTTTCCATCACCCCGCCCCATTCTCCCGCTTTCCATCACCCAGCCCCATTCTCCCGCTTTCCATCACCCCGCCCCATTCTCCCTCTTTCCATAACCCCGCCCCATTCTCCCGCTTTCCATCACCCCGCCCCATTCTCCCGCTTTCCATCACCCCGGCCCGTTCTCCCGCTTTCCATCACCCCGCCCCATTCTCCCGCTTTCCATCTCTCCGCCCCATTCTCCCGCTTTCCATCAGCCCGCCCCATTCTCCTGCTTTCCATCACCCCGCCCTTATCTCCCGCTTTCCATCACCCCGCCCGATTCTCACGATTTCCATCACCTCGCCCCATTCTCCCACTTTCCATCACCCCGCCCCATTCTCCCGCTTTCCATCACCCCGCCCCATTCTCCCTCTTTCCATCACCCCGCCCCATTCTCCCTCTTCCACCGACCCGCCCCATTCTCCCGCTTTCCATCACCCCACCCGATTCTCCCGCTTTCCATCACCCCGCCCCATTCTCCCTCTTTCCATCACCACGCCCAATTCTCCCTCGTTCCATCACTCCGCCCCATTCTCCCTCTTTCCACCGCCCCATTCTCCCTCTTTCCATCACCCCGCCCCATTCTCCCTCTGTCCATCACCCCGCCCCATTCTCCCTCTGTCCATCACCCCGCCCGCTTCTCCCGCTTTCCTTCACCCCGCCCCATTCTCCCTCTTTCCATCACCCCGCCCGATTCTCCCGCTTTCCATCACCCCGGCCCATTCTCCCTCTTCCATCACCCCGCCCGATTCTCCCTCTTTCCATAACCCCGCCCCATTCTCCCGCTTTCCATAACCCCGCCCCATTCTCCCTCTTTCCGTAACCCCGCCCCATTCTCCCGCTTTCCATCACCCCGGCCCATTCTCCCGTTTTCCATCACCCCGCCCCATTCTCCTGCTTTCCATCACCCCGCCCCATTCTCCCGCTTTCCATCATCCCGCCCCATTCTCCCTCTTTCCATCACCCCGCCCCATTCTCCCGCTTTCCAACACCCAGCCCCATTCTCCCGCTTTCCATCACCCTGCCTTATTCTCCCGCTTTCCATCACCCCGCGCCATTCTCCTGCTTTCCATCACCCCGCCCCATTCTCCCGCTTTCCATCACCCCACCCCCTTCTCTCTCTTTCCATCACCCCGCCCCATTCTCCCGCTTTCCATCACCCCACCCCATTCTCCCTCTTTCCATCACCCCACCCCATTCTCCCGCCTTCCATCACCCGCCCCATATCCTGTTTCCATCACCCCGCCCCATTCTCCCGCTTTCCATCATCCCGTCCCATTCTCCCTCTTTCCATCATACCGCCCCATTCTCCCGCTTTCCATCACCCCGCCCCATTCTCCGTCTTTCCATAACCCCGCCCCATTCTCCCGTTTTCCATCACCCCGCCCCATTCTCCCGCTTTCCAGCACCCTGCCCCATTCTCCCGCTTTCCATCACCCCGCCCCATTCTCCCGCATTCCAGCACCCCGCCCCCTTCTCCCGCTTTCCATCACCCTGCCTGATTCTCCCGCTTTTCGTCACACCGCCCCATTCTCCCGCTTTCCATCACCCCACCCCATTCTCTCGCTTTCCATCACCCCACCCTATTCTCCCTCTTTCCATCACCCCGCCCCATTCTCTCGCTTTCCATCACCCCGCCCCATTCTCCCGCTTTCCATCACCCCGCCCCATTCTCCCGCTTTCCATCATCCCGTCCCATTCTCCCTCTTTCCATCACCCCGCCCCATTCTCCCGATTTCCATCACCCCACCCCATTCTCCCTCTTTCCATAACCCCGCCCCATTCTCCCGTTTTCCATCACCCCGCCCCATTCTCCCGCTTTCCATCACCCTGCCCCATTCTCCCGCTTTCCATCACCCCGCCCCATTCTCCCGCTTTCCAGCACCCCGCCCCATTCTCCCGCTTTCCATCACCCCGCCCAATTCTCCCGCTTTCCAGCACCCCGCCCCATTCTCCCGCTTTCCATCACCTCGCCGCATTCTCCCGCTTTCCATCACCTTGCCCCATTCTCCCGCTTTCCATCACCCCGCCCCATTCTCCCGCTTTCCATCACCCCGCCCGATTCTCCCGCTTTCCATCACCTCGCCCCATTCTCCCGCTTTCCATCACTCCGCCCCATTCTCCCGCTTTCCATCACCCCGCCCCATTCTCCCTCTTTCCAGCACCCCGCCTTTATCTCCCGCTTTCCATCACCCCGCCCGATTCTCCCGCTTTCCATCACCTCGCCCCATTCTCCCGCTTTCCATCACCCCGCCCGATTCACCCGCTTTCCATCACCCCGCCCCATTCTCCCTCTTTCCATCACCCCGCCCGATTCTCACTCTTTCCATAACCTCGCCCCATTCTCCCGCTTTCCAAAACCCCGCCCCACTCTCCCTCTTTCCGTAACATCGCCTCATTCTCCCGCTTTCCATCACCCCGGCCCATTCTCTGGCTTTTCATCACCCCGCCCCATTCTCCCGCTTTCCATCACCCCACCCCATTCTCCCGCTTTCCATCATGCCGCCCCATTCTCCCTCTTTCCATCACCCCGCCCCATTCTCCCGCTTTCCAGCACCCAGCCCCATTCTCCCGCTTTCCATCACCCTGCCCCATTCTCCCGCTTTCCATCATCCCGCCCCGTTCTCCTGCTTTCCATCACCCCGCCCCATTCTCCTGCTTTCCATCACCCCACCCCATTCTCTCTCTTTCCATCACCCCGCCCCATTCTCCCGCTTTCCATCACCCCACCCCATTCTCCCTCTTTCCATCACCCCACCCCATTCTCCCGCCTCCCATCACCCGCCCCATATCCTCTTTCCATCACCCCGCCCCATTCTCCCGCTTTCCATCATCCCGTCCCATTCTCCCTCTTTCCATAACCCCGCCCCATTCTCCCGCTTTCCATCACCCCGCCCCATTCTCCCGCTTTCCATCACCCCGCCCCATTCTCCCGCTTTCCATCACCCCGCCCCATTCTCCCGCTTTCCATCAACCTGCCCGATTCTCCCTCTTTTCATCACCCCGCCCCATTCTCCCGCTTTCCATCACCCCGCCCCATTCTCCCTCTTTCCATCACCCCGCCCCATTCTCCTGCTTTCCATCACCGCCCCATTCTCCCACTTTCCATCACCTCGCCGCATTCTCCCGCTTTCCATCACCCCGCCCCATTCTCCCTCTTTCCATCACCACGCCCCATTCTCCCTCTTTCCATCACTCCGCCCCATTCTCCCTCTTTCCATCACCCCGCCCCATTTTCCCTCTTTCCATCACCCCGCCCCATTCTCCGGCTTTCTATCAACCCGCCCCATTCTCCCTCTTTCCATCACCCCACCCCATTCTCCCGCCTTCCATCACCCGCCCCATACTCCCTCTTTCCATCACCCCGCCCCATTCTCTCGCTTTCCATCATCCCGCCCCATTCTCCCTCTTTCCATCACCCCACCCCATTCTCCCTCTTTCCATCACACTGCCCCAATCTCCCGCTTTCCATCACCCCACCCCATTCTCCCGCTTTCCATCATCCCGCCCCATTCTCCTGCTTTCCAGCACCCCGCCCCATTCTCCCGCTTTCCATAAACCCGCCCCATTCTCCCGCTTTCCAGCACCCCGCCCCATTCTCCCGCTTTCCATCACCCCGCCCCATTCTCCCGCTTTCCAGCACCTAGCCCCATTCTCCCGCTTTCCATCACCCTTCCCGATTCTCCCGCTTTCCATCACCCCGCCCCATTCTCCCGCTTTCCATAACCTGCCCCATTCTCCCGCTTTCCATCAACCCGCCCCATTCTCTCTTTCCATCACCCCGCCCCATTCTCCCGCCTTCCATCATCCGCCCCATACTCCCTCTTTCCATCACCCCGCCCCATTCTCCCGCTTTCCATCATCCCGCCCCATTCTCCCTCTTTCCATCACCCCGCCCCATTCTCCCTCTTTCCATCACACCGCCCCATTCTCCCTCTTTCCATCACCCCGCCCCATTCTCCCGCTTTCCATCACCCCGCCCCATTCTCCTGCTTTCCAGCACCCCGCCCCATTCTCCCGCTTTCCATAACCCCGCCCCATTCTCCCGCTTTCCAGCACCCCGCCCCATTCTCCCGCTTTCCATCACCCCGCCCCATTCTCCCGCTTTCCATCACCCCGCCCCATTCTCCCGCTTTCCATCACCCCGCCCCATTCTCCCGCTTTCCATCACCTCGCCCCATTCTCCCTCTTTCCATCACCCCGCCCCATTCTCCCGCTTTCCATCACCGCCCCATTCTCCCTCTTTCCATCACCCCGCCCCATTCTCCCTCTTTCCATCACCCCGCCCCATTCTCCCTCTTTCCATAACCCCGCACCATTCTCCCGCTTTCCATCACCCCGCCCCATTCTCCCGCTTTCCATCACCCCGCCCCATTCTCCCGCTTTCCATCACCCCGCCCCATTCTCCCGCTTTCCAGCACCCCGCCCCATTCTCCCGCTTTCTATCACCCCGCCCCATTCTCCCGCTTTCCTGCACCCCGCCCCATTCTCCCGCTTTCCATCACCCCGCCCGATTCTCCCGCTTTCCAACACCCCGCCCCATTCTCCCGCTTTCCATCACCCCGCCCCATTCTCCCGCTTTCCATCACCCGCCCCATTCTCCCTCTTTCTATCACCCCGCCCCATTCTCCCGCTTTCCATCACCCCGCCCCATTCTCCCTCTTTCCATCACCCCGCCCCATTCTCCCGCTTTCCATCACCCCGCCCCATTCTCCCTCTTTCCATCACCCCGCCCCATTCTCCCTCTTTCCATCACCCCGCCCCATTCTCCCGCTTTCCATCACACCGCCCCATTCTCCCTCTTTCCATCACCCCACCCCATTCTCCCTCTTTCAACACCCCGCCCCATTCTCCCGCTTTCCATAACCCCGCCCCATTCTCCCGCTTTCCATCACCCCGCCCCATTCTCCCACTTTCCATCACCCCGCCCCACTCTCCGGCTTTCCATCACCCCGCCCCATTCTCCCGCTTTCCATCACCCCGCCCCATTCTCCCTCCTTCCATCACCCCGCACCATTCTCCCTCCTTCCATCACCCCGCCCCAATCTCCCGCTTTCCATCACTCCGCCCCATTCTCCCTCCTTCCATCACCCCGCCCCATTCTCCCTCCTTCCATCACCCCACCCCATTCTCCCGCTTTCCATCACCCCGCCCCATTCTTCCGCTCTCCATCACCCTGCCCCATTCTCCCTCTTTCCATCACCCCGCCCCATTCTCCCGCTTTCCATCACCGCCCCATTCTCTCTCTTTCCATCACCCCGCCCCATTCTCCCTCTTTCCATCACCCCGCCCCATTCTCCCTCTTTCCATAACCCCGCACCATTCTCCCGCTTTCCATCACCCCGCCCCATTCTCCCGCTTTCCATCACCCCGCCCCATTCTCCCGCTTTCCATCACCCCGCCCCATTCTCCCGCTTTCCAGCACCCCGCCCCATTCTCCCGCTTTCTATCACCCCGCCCCATTCTCCCGCTTTCCTGCACCCCGCCCCATTCTCCCGCTTTCCATCACCCCGCCCGATTCTCCCGCTTTCCAACACCCCGCCCCATTCTCCCGCTTTCCATCACCCCGCCCCATTCTCCCGCTTTCCATCACCCGCCCCATTCTCCCTCTTTCTATCACCCCGCCCCATTCTCCCGCTTTCCATCACCCCGCCCCATTCTCCCTCTTTCCATCACCCCGCCCCATTCTCCCGCTTTCCATCACCCCGCCCCATTCTCCCTCTTTCCATCACCCCGCCCCATTCTCCCTCTTTCCACCACCCCGCCCCATTCTCCCGCTTTCCATCACACCGCCCCATTCTCCCTCTTTCCATCACCCCACCCCATTCTCCCTCTTTCAACACCCCGCCCCATTCTCCCGCTTTCCATAACCCCGCCCCATTCTCCCGCTTTCCATCACCCCGCCCCATTCTCCCACTTTCCATCACCCCGCCCCACTCTCCGGCTTTCCATCACCCCGCCCCATTCTCCCGCTTTCCATCACCCCGCCCCATTCTCCCTCCTTCCATCACCCCGCACCATTCTCCCTCCTTCCATCACCCCGCCCCAATCTCCCGCTTTCCATCACTCCGCCCCATTCTCCCTCCTTCCATCACCCCGCCCCATTCTCTCTCCTTCCATCACCCCACCCCATTCTCCCGCTTTCCATCACCCCGCCCCATTCTTCCGCTCTCCATCACCCTGCCCCTTTCTCCCTCCTTCCATCACCCCGCCCCATTCTCCCGCTTTCCATCACCCCGCCCCATTCTCCCGCTTTCCATCACCCCGCCCCATTCTCCGTCCTTCCATCACCCCGCCCAATTCTCCCGCTTTCCATCACCCCGCCCCATTCTCCCGCTTTCCATCACCCCGCCCCCTTCTCCCGCTTTCCATCACCCCGCCCCGTTCTCCCGCTTTCCATCACCCCGCCCCGTTCTCCTGCTTTCCATCACCCCGCCCCGTTCTCCCGCTTTCCATCACCCCGCCCCATTCTCCCGCTTTCCATCAACCCGCCCCATTCTCCCTCCTTCCATCACCCCGCCCCATTCTCCCTCCTTCCATCACCCCACCCCATTCTCCCTCTTTCCATCACCCCGCCCCATTCTCCCTCCTTCCATCACCCCGCCCCATTCTCCCTCCTTTCATCACCCCGCCCCATTTTCCCTCCTTCCATCACCCCGCCCCATTCTCCCGCTTTCCATCGCCCCGCTCCATTCTCCCGCTTTCCATCACCCCGCCCCATTCTCCCGCTTTCCATCACCCCGCCCTATTCTCCCCCTTTCCATCACCCCGCCCCATTCTCCCGCTTTCCATCACCCCACCCCATTCTCCCTCCTTCCATCACCCCGCCCCATTCTCCCGCTTTCCATCACCCCGCCCCATTCTCCCGCTTTCCATCACCCCGCCCCATTCTCCCTCCTTCCATCACCCCGCCCCATTCTCCCGCTTTCCATCACCCCGCCCCATTCTCCCTCTTTCCATCACCCCGCCCCATTCTCCCTCCTTCCATCACCCCGCCCCATTCTCCCTCCTTTCATCACCCCGCCCCATTTTCCCTCCTTCCATCACCCCGCCCCATTCTCCCGCTTTCCATCGCCCCGCTCCATTCTCCCGCTTTCCATCACCCCGCCCCATTCTCCCGCTTTCCATCACCCCGCCCTATTCTCCCCCTTTCCATCACCCCGCCCCATTCTCCCGCTTTCCATCACCCCACCCCATTCTCCCTCCTTCCATCACCCCGCCCCATTCTCCCTCCTTCCATCACCCCGCCCCATTCTCCCGCTTTCCATCACCCGCCCCATTCTCCTGCTTTCCATCACCCCGCCCCATAATCCCGCTTTCCATCACCCCGCCCCATTCTCCTGCTTTCCATCACCCCGCCCCATTCTCCCTCCTTCAATCACCCCGCCCCATTCTCCCGCTTTCCATCACCCCGCCCCATTCCCCCGCTTTCCATCACCCCGCCCCATTCTCCCGCTTTCCATCATCCCGCCCCATTCTCCCGCTTTCCATTATCCCGCCCTATTCTCCCGCTTTCCATCACCCCGCCCCATTCTCCCGCTTTCCATCACCCCGCCCCATTCTCCCCCTTTCCATCACCCCGCCCCATTCTCCCGCTTTCCATCACCCCGCCCCATTCTCCCGCTTTCCATCACCCCGCCCCATTCTCCTGCTTTCCATCACCCCACCCCATTCTCCCGCTTTCAATCACCCCGCCCCATTCTCCCGCTTTCCATCACCCCGCCCCATTCTCCCGCTCTCCATCACCCCGCCCCATTCTCCCGCTTTCCATCACCCCGCCCCATTCTCCCGCATTCCATCACCCCGCCCCATTCTCCCGCTTTCCATCGCCCTGCTCCATTCTCCCGCTTTCCATCACCCCGCCCCATTCTCCCGCTTTCCATCACCCCGCCCTATTCTCCCCCTTTCCATCACCCCGCCCCATTCTCCCGCTTTCCATCACCCCGCCCCATTCTCCCTCCTTCCATCAACCCGCCCCATTCTCCCTCCTTCCATCACCCCGCCCCATTCTCCCGCTTTCCATCACCCCGCCCCATTCTCCCTCCTTCCATCACCGCGCACCATTCTCCCTCCTTCCATCACCCCGCCCCAATCTCCAGCTTTCCATCACCCCGCCCCATTCTCCCTCCTTCCATCACCCCGCCCCATTCTCCCTCCTTCCATCACCCCACCCCATTCTCCCGCTTTCCATCACCCCGCCCCATTCTCCCGCTTTCCATCACCCCGCCCCATTCTCCCTCCTTCCATCACCCCGCCCCATTCTCCCGCTTTCCATCTCCCCGCCCCATTCTCCGGCTTTCCATCACCCCGCCCCATTCTCCCTCCTTCCATCACCCTGCCCCATTCTCCCTCCTTCCATCACCCCGCCCCATTTGTTATAGTCACAATAGGCTTGAATGTGCCTAAAACGAAAGATAGAGAGCACAGACGGATTTCTGCACAGCGGCTTCAAACGTTGATAGCGTTCTGCTCACAGCTGTAAATGACTTGATTCAAATTGGATCTGGAGCGTCTTTACGTCGTCTACAATTATCAATTTAGATTGCACGATTTGATAAAGAATTGACGACACAGCGTCGGTTTGAACGAACGGTACTATGGCAGCCACTATAGTCTTAGAACACAAGATAGGAAGAGTTACGAGTTGGGAATGACTCCCAGCTCCTACAAACCCCAAGAGCCGAGGTACAGTGATGTGGAACAGTGCCACACTGTCCCCAACCACGAAGGGTCTCGAAACTACCCTTCACTAGGGCCTACACCAAGTGAAATGTTACACTACACAAAGTAATGTAACTATCTTCAATATCTTGAGGTGTACCCTTTTGGCGAGCTTCGAAATCACTTGAGGCTTGACACCAAGGCTCGGGCTCTTCATCACAAACTCATCCTTGAGTTCTTGATGGGTCTGCTGCACACACCTGCGACACGCTGAACGTTCGACACAGGACAAAATAGAAACCGCGCACGACAAAATAGAAACCGCGCGCGAGACACAAACGACCGCGTAACACGCGTCTAGCGATAACT